CAGGTATTCCTTGTTGCAGCACTGGGGTTGCTCTGGGGATCTTATGCCATAAGAGCTCCCACTTGTCTATCTGCTCTGTTCAGCTTTTATTTAAAAAGAGTTACGTTTTTTTGGACGCATTAACATAATTCCACCTATTCTAATAAGTGATTAAGATGGGCCTGTCTATGATTACGTCAGCAGTGTTTAAGACTTATTTTACAGTCTTTGCTGCCCCTGGTGTTCTTTTATAACAAACACAGTCTCTCAGGTGACTGTGTATTTCTTCAGGTGGTTGTCGCATAGTCTTCATCACTGTGTCCTTTTGCTGAACGTTTTGCTGGCCGTTGTTGACACGTGCACAATCTTCTTCTCTGGCCTCTTTGTACTTTGTGGGCGATTGCTTCTTTCTGCTCCTGCAGCTCTTTTTCCTTATTGTTCCGTCTCCTTGTTTCTATTTTGTAAAATATTTACAGCCTCTTTCTTCTACCATTATGCCTTTTGCTTATATACAAAAGCACTCTATATACACTAATTAGCAATACATTACTAATTGGAATAATCACTGGAATTGGAATACATGATTTAGCCGCCTTCTCCTTCTCAAGATGATCATTGTAGGTCCCTTCCACCTGAAAACATTCTATTCTAGGCACAGCCTCAGCTTGTTCCCTGCTCAGGGACAAGTGGCCCCCACCCAGGCGCGCAGTGTGGGCAGCCAGACGTAAGGACTGCAGTGGAAGGAGGAGGGGAGGGCAGGCAGGGGGGCTGGAGGTCACAGCAGACAAGGGAAGGGGGCTAAAAGGATAAATACTCCTCAAAACCAGCCTGACAGGAGCATATTCCCACCGAGCTGATGGTCCGTCCCCCCCCCCACAGTCCAACTGTCACCTTTGGAGGCCTCACACAGCAAGAGGAGTCACACTATTTGAAGAGGACAAGATTATACAGCTTTAGCCATCACTAACTGAACTCAGCAGTATTGAAAGTGCTTCCGGCTTTTTTAAATTCCAGTTTGGTGAATCACTGCAAAATAAAAGCTGCTGCTGCCTCATCCCTCTCTTATCTTATTTACTCCTGAAAGGAAAGCAGAGTTCAGGTTAAGGGCTGGCTCTATCAGGAACCTTTCACATAGAGACACGCAGAGATCTGATCTTCTGCTACTGGTGAGACTGAAAAAAGGCAATAAATCCCCAGAAGGTCACAGGTGTGCAGAGGCTTTTACACATTTCTTTAGATCACAAGATGGGAGCGCTAACAGGTTTGCCGGACAGGAGCTTTATCACAAAGTTTGTGTCTCCCTGGGAGCTGTTCTCGCACCAGTCCCTTATTCTCCTCTGGCTCCCAGGTAAGCACCGAGACACAGCTCACGCCACAGCACCTGCCCCCTGATCCACACAGGGCGCTTTGCACACCTCCAGGGCTCCCTCCCTTCTCTCCCTGCAAACTGCCTTCTCATTAGTCAAGCAGGAGAAAGCCTCTTTCTGAAATCTAGACTGAATAAAAAAGTTAATCTAGGCAGATTGATTCTATTCTTCCCAGTGGGCATCACATATTCATGTTTTCAGTGGAACAATTTATGGAGACCTCCAAGATGCAACCCAACACTTAAACAGTTCCAGAAATCACCGAGAGGCTGAGTAAAAGGAGAGATGCGCTTAAAACGCCACTAATGACAGTCTTAACACAAAAGCTTTTCTATTGGTCACTTTTATTTCAAGAACAGAACAGCCTTCCATCCCAGCTCCCTTCGTGCGTTCGGTGTGTAACTCAGGGAGCATGACAAGCAGTCACAGCCTGTAGAGCAAGAGCTACAACCAAAGTAATCCCCGCTGAGACACTGGCTTTGTGTTTTCCTCCTCTCCCTCCCTGGGTGAGAAGCAAGCCTGGCACAGAACACAGACAGCTCCCTCATCCCACATCTGCGTGGATGCTTCACAGTAATTACACAAATAAATAAAGAATAGTAAGTATCTCAGAGCTGGAGCAGATGGTGACCAGAGACCATCTAGAAATCAAGTTATTGCTACGTTCTTCCTTACTGGACACTGCAGGTAACTCACTGTGTAACCACCAAGAGAGGCGACAGTATCAGTTTGCCCTTGTGTTGTTGGTTCATGTTGGACAGAAAGGTGTGGAAAGACAAGGCAGACCTTGTTTAATCTCCTCCCTGCCTTAAGGGCAGGAGTTTTCTCAGTGGGCCTGAATCTTTGTCATTTTGATGGAAATACGTAGGGGCAGGGAATACAATGGGCTGGCTCCCAAAACACTTGGAAATTCATCATGCCTGCCAGACTTCACCAAGGCGTTCATGTACATTGCTAGGAGTACATACCGTGAAGTGTACTCACTGCTCCCGACTTGCAACAGGAGCTGCTGAGCCACCTCAGCAGGGTAAGGAGCTGCAGGTTCAAATTTCAAAGAGCAGGAGCCCAGTGTCACCTTGAGAGGTGAGCCAGAGCTGCTGATTCATCAGGGCAAATCAGAGTGGTGCAACACGGGCACAGGGGAGTATCAGTCCTGCCACATGCACACGAGGTCAACCTGACACTTGATTCTACTTCCCTCTGCTGGTGGGACATGCTGTGACGGCCAGCGTCCCACTAGGATGTCACGCCAGCTAAAACCAAGCATAACATGAAGTCTAATACGTACGAAAGCACTTGTCACCGAAGATTATCAGGTAGCCCAAGGCTGATTCCAAGTGGTGAGCTCACAGCAGTGTCAGTGCCCACAGTGTCCCTCCCCACAAGAGGTATTGGCTGAAGAGTAGGAGTTTGAGAAGATGAGGAGGACGGCAGGAAGACTGATGGAAAAGCAGAGGAATCCTTTGCAGGACATCCAGAGACATCTCTGTTAGGCATCATGCAGCTGGTTCTCTTTCAGGAGAATCTTCTCCCCAGGCTTGAAAGCAGGCATCCCCAGGTAAGGGCAGCTGGCACAGCGGAACGCATCCCCCAAGTAGCACTGGTGAGAGAAAGAAAAGCACTATCTGTAATCAGAGGTAACCTTCAGTTCTCTCCCCCTGTGATATGATTTTTCTATCTTAAGATATTACATGCTCCTCAGCATGTATCAGCACAGAAACTGCTTCCTCCTCTCAACATGTCTGGTTAGGGCAGTTAGCAGAGCTGTGCAGGGCACAAGCAAGTTTCCGCCTCAGCCGGTGCGCCCGGGCACAGCTGCAAGCTGGGCTTGGGCAGCCCCTAACCCCCACCAGGACCCCTGAGCTCCCGTAAGGTGATCGTCCGTGGGCAGATCCCTGGTTAGCCCAGGAGCAGGGTGGTAAAGGTTCGCTGCTCACTCCAACTCCTCCAAGCGCAGTCCTTGCACTGGAACAGACAGCACACGCTGGTACAGAGCCTGTGGGCACAGGGCAACAGGCTGGAGCTCTGCAGAAGCTCCACAAGCAGCATTTGGAAGCAGTAAATCAGCTTAGGGAGTCATCACTAGAGAACAGTTCTTAGACACAAATCACCACAGCACAGAAACAAAAACAACTACTTACATTTCCACAAGCAGATTTGGGCTGTGAGCTTTTCTTCTCCTGTTCCAGTTCTTCAGCCAGGCCACAGGTGCTGTAGAAAAATAAAGAAGTCACCTGCATCTTGCTGCTTAAAGGTGGTGAGTCACCAACACTTGTTCCAGCCCTACTCACATACAACAGCCCTCACTCTGTCACATGACACAGCTGACTGCAGGACTCACATGCTCTTCCCTTTGTTCTTCAACACCATAGTTTGTATAACAAGTGAAATTCAAGTTTAAACTGAGTGGGAAATGCCTCTACAGCACTCGTTATAAGTGCTGTTTCTCCTTGAAATCTGAGAAACCAGGGTTTTAGCCAAGGCTGCACAAACTGTGTCTCCACCTTCAGGAAAACTCTTGACCTTATCAGTGTGGTAACTTGTAGTAGTTTTGGTGTGGCCAGTCAATTCTCATTGTATTTGGATTTACATTCAAATAGCTAAGCTAAGAAAGGACATGAACCAAGAGAATTATGCTCTGAAGAACAGCAAAGCACCTAGTATCTTTTTATAATCCATCCAACTCCAAGGGTTTAACATTACAGTTCAAAGGTTCACTGATACGCTAATCCCAGCACTGACCAGTTCTTGCAGGCTTTCTTTTTGCCCATTTCTTTGCAGGATGGAGCTCTGAGGGATGATGGATCTGGCTTTTTCAAATCCTCTGAATCCAACAGCTCATCAGAGTCCAGAAGATCCTGAAAACACATCACGGAAGATAACATGCAGGAAACTGATTTGTAAGTAGGGAATGACGTTGCTGTGTTATGTTCAAAGAAATGGTGCCATCTGTAGCACCTGCATTAGTGCTGCACCCGTGCCCCCTTATCCACATCTCCTCTCCATGCTCACCACATCTCTTGGCACTCAAGACACAGATGAGATATTTTGCCCCAGGGATACTTTTCTACCACTTAAGTTGTAAAGCTTCCCAAGAGGCATGACTGAATCTATTTAGAGCAGGAAAAAACAGAGAGAAGGAACAACAGCAAAGCCTCACAAACAAAACCAGATACCATCTCTTCATCATTCATATCATTAGCAGAGAGCGTCCACAACTTGGCAGTGGCTGGGTCCACAGAGGGTTTTCCTGGAGCCAAAACAAAGGAAGAAATAGTAGTTACTCCAGCCTTTGCCCCATCTCCTCCCAATAAACAGAGTTCAAACAACTTTGTAAAGCCCCACTTTACCGCTTTTTGCTGTAGTACTCCCTACCCTGGAGCTGTCTCCCTGCTCATCACCCAAGAGGCAATCCAGACATTTAGCATGCACCACTCCTTACTTGAAGGATCAGGTTTCTTGGCAAAGGAAAGTTTGAGCTGACTTGAGGATCCCACTTCAAAATTGGGCTTCCTGCCTTCTATCTGAACAATGAGAAGGTCATTGCCTTGGTAACCCAAATGCTCTTGGACCGACTGAGCCTCCTCTGGGGTCAATGCTTCCTTTTGCAGCTGCAAGGTAAGATTTTAGGTTAAACTCATGCAGAATCCTTTATTTCAGCACGCAGTCCAGCATTTCAGCAAACACAGACAATCAGTATTTTTGATCCTAAAGAAAAAACACTGCCTTTGCAGTAACTAAAGTTTGTGGCAGGCACTGTCCACGCACATTTACAGTAAACCAGGGTAGCTAAACACCTTGTCATCCAGCAAGTCCCCAGGAATTGCCATCTACATTTCAAGATAACAGCACAAAGGAGTTTCTGGAAGTGGTTAGCATCTACATACATACCTCCTTCACTTCCACCAACCCAGAGAGAGTCAGAGCTGTGGGGAGTTTGGCTGCTGTCTGGATTCTGCCATAGTTTCCTGGAAGACACAAAAGCAGGAATTAGGAGGAGGGAAGAACTAGAATAGAGGTCACTGAGAAACCTGGAAGACCAATAGCTTTAGAAAGAAGTACTCAAGCCAAACCTCTGCTCTAAAGTTGGGCCCTTTCCAGTTGACAGCAAGAACAAACCAGAAAGAGGGTAAGCGCTTCTAAAGAGTGTAAGCGCTTCTTTGTCAAAATAAAAGCCTGGGTCACAAAGCCTTTCTAGCTCCAGATCTGTTCTATATATGCCAAAACCTTCCTCAACCCCACTAACACCCAACAACACAAAAAAGGAAAAACTCCCCACCCCAAACAAAAAACCCCCAAAACATTTTCACATATTACTGTGAACAACTTATGAAGTTTTCAAAACATGGACTCCTAAATATTACCCTCAGAGACATAACATTCAAGAGCCCTGCTCTCGTAGGCAACAGCTGTTGCAAACACTGTTTAATCAAAAACTCATTACAGGCTTCTCTTAGGCACAGGATTGTGCTGAACAGAATCACAGAATGGCTTGGGTTGGAAGGGGCCTTCAAGATCACCCAGTTCCACCCCCTGCCACAGGCAGGGACACCTCCCACTAGCCCAGGTTGCTCAAAGCCTCATCCAGCCTGGCCTTGAACCCCTCCAGGGATGGGGCATCCACAGCTTCTTTGGGCAACCTGGGCCACTGCCTCACCCCCCACACAGGAAAACATTTCTTCCTCACATCTCATCTCCATCTCCCCTCTTTCAGCTTCAACCCATTCCCCCTCGTCCTGTCCCTGCCCCCCCTGATCCAGAGTGCCTCCCTCTCCCTAGTCCCACTTGCACGTTATTCCAAGTCCACCAAATTCCAGCCTGTCAGATGTAACTTCAGAAAAAAGAGACCTCATCTATTTCACACTTTGCATGTTCTTTGTTCTGTCCCAGAAGTGTTCCTCCCCGCCCCTAAGGTACCACTTGCACCACAGAGCCACTGCCAGCTTCAAACAATTGGCAAATCCACCCAACCTGAAGAAGGCATTTCTGCTGCCACTGCTCCCATCATTTTCAGCACTGGAGATTGGGCCAACAGAAACACTGTCCACATAGATATGTCTGTTCTTATCAGGTGGCATATTATTTCCCACTTCCATCCTGAATCAGCTCCCTACGCCAGCAAGGTTTGAATGCAGGTCAAGTAGAAGACAGAGAAGTAATCTTGTGTTCACTTCCTTGTGTGTTCCTCCAGCTGTCCCATGGCAGGTGCTCTGGCTTTACCAGAGCTTAAAACTTAGTCCAAACACTTCTACCTTTTCTGAGTAACTATTTTTCATCTGGCTTCTGGGACAGCTTCTCTTACCATTTGTCAACTGATTTTTTAAAAATTACTTCATAAGCCCCTCAGAAACACAACATCTGCAACTATTTAACATTGCACACCCTAGAAGAAGACCAGTGTCTGCTGAGTTTTTCAACATAGTTTAGGAACAAGCCTATCCAGCACTTTTGACGGGAGAGTGACTGCCAACATCTCTGACTGCTACCAGCTGAAACACAGGATAAAAACCCTGCTCAGGTTACTGTGTCAGGGGCATGAAAACCTCTGAACCTCAGTCAGGGTTCCTGTCCTTTCCATTTCAGCCTAAACCTCAGAAGAATTGCTATGTTGCCATGAAAGCAGGCTGATGTGGATTCTCTCACCTGATTCTGTAACCACTGGTTCTTTCAGGAGGACACGGCCCCCCGGCTTAAGTATCCGAGCTATTTCTGCCAATACCTCCGCACTGTGCTGCGCCGTACTGCCTGGTACCATGCCAGAGAGAATTACATCGAAACTGGACTCCCTGTGAGCCGCTGAAAAGAAAGAAAGAGGAACATGGTACAATTTTACACACATACACACACACCTTTGCTTAATACATCTCTACCACCTTCCTCCTCGTCTCTCATACTCGCGTACAACAGCAATAACAGATTAAAGACACCAGTCATAGGAAGCACAACCAGGGTATATCACTTTCTTTGCTCCCTTTAGATGGAACAGTGAAAAATTAAGCACATTCTTACACTGAGACAGCTGGTTAATGTTTTCCACAGAGACACGATTATCAGCTCCCACCAGCGCCTGAATTTTATCCACCAAATCCTTCAGGGCTTCAACCGGCGAGGAGCTGTCCCAGATGACGGCCACGCGCTGACCTGGGGTGACTCCAAACTCCTCCATTTCTGCAGCAGCAGCAAACCTGACAGCGGCAGAGAGGAACGGGTAAGAGGGAGACAAGAGAGGAAGGGTAAGGGCCAAGTGCAGCACGAACCTCTGTTGACCATGACTTAATCACAGAGCATCGACTTGTTTTAATAAATGAGGATTATTTTCTGGCGGCAGGGAGCACGGAGTTCCCACAAGCTGAGCATTACCATGACATTAAGAAATGGCTACACTTCAGGGCATAATTCAGTTTCTCACCAGTTCAGAGACCAGTTTTGCAGGGAGACTGCAAGCCATGCTTAAAGAAAACCCTCCAAAAAACCTCACCTGTGTTCCTCAAAGGTTTGAATAGAGAGCATACACAGGATTTCTGGATTTCCAGACTAGTGACAACTATTTGACATTAAACACTGTCTTGTCTCTTCTAGTCAGGATGTGTCCTGGGAGAGTTTGTTTCCACAGTACGAGAAGAAAAAAAAAAAAAAAAAAGCAACTTCCAGCATTCCAGACTGAGGCTCTTTCAACTCTTATAATTGGTGGTGCTGAGTGAGCAATTACACAGAGGGAGGAGGGAAGAGAATGTGCAGGGAAGTGACAGTTTTGAGAAACCTGTCTGCAGTAATATTTTATAAAAGATTGCATTCCTGACAAGAATCCAAAGAAAGCCTGCACTATGGAAGTGTCACATCGTACCATCATAGCAGCACCGGCTACTGAAACAAATTACCCAGCCTCTTTCACTCTACTCATACAATGAAAACCTATTTTCTTTCTAATTTAACACGACCACTGAGAAAAGAGAGCACCGGTGAGCCCAGTGTATCTTCAACTAGCTGCAAGCCACACGCTCGCTTCAGAAGAACCTGTTGTAAGCAAGGGCTTTACCAGAAATCATGACATTACACATCCTGGGCAATGCCTTATTGCCACCGTGCTGTCATGAAAGCACAGCTTGCGGATCTGCTGTACCAAATGTAACTCAGCCTGCAGTCAGGTGTGGAGTGGATTTTGACCCACTGTTCCTCTGTCTCTGTGTGCCATCAACCCCTTTCTCCTGGAAACTGCAAACAAGTTCAGAACAGGACAGCTCTGCACCTTGTGTGAGCGAGGGATTAGCATTAACACAGCCCAGGGTGCCAACAAGGTAAGGAGTGGAAGCTCTTGGACACACTGCAGGTTATAGCACCTCACAGTTGGCCTTGTATACATATGCAACACAAGCTACGCCACTACAACAGATAGTAACTTTAGTAAACACACATATTAATCCCATTAAAAAGTCACCTTTTCCTGGCAGAAGGCTGAAAACCTAAAAAGATAAATAAGCTGCTTGGGCTAGTGTGGAAAAAAAAAATCCAAGCTCACACCTTCCTCTCCATCCTGGTTTCAGCTGGGACAGAGTTAACTTTCCTCACAACAGCAGTGTGAGGCTGTGGTTGGGATTTGTGCTGAGAAAAGGCTGATAACGTACTGATGTTTATAGCTGCTGCCAGGACACTCAAGGACTTTTCCGCTTCTCTGCTGTGCCCGTGTCTGCAGGGGCAGGAGAAGCTGGGAGGGAGCACAGCCCCAGTGACCAGCCCAGGATTCGACCTCAGGGTTAGGACTGAGACCCAAAGTGGCCAACGGTCTGTTCCATCCCACGCACGGCATGGCCAGGGGACAGCTGAGGCTCTGTCTGGAAGGCCTCTCTGGGTCATCTCCCTGTTTCTGGATCTCCCCTCTTTCAGGGTCATCTCACTCTCTCAGACACTCAGGCTCTTATCTGTGCTCTGGGATTGTGTTTTCAGGACTCTCCCTGCCCCGGGATCATTAGCCGGGAATGGGCTGAGCCTTGGCCATTGGGTGGTGAGTACTGTCACTGTGTGTCACCCATTTGTATATATTACTATTATAGTTTCCAATATTATTGTAGTTTAGTTATTAAGTTGTTCTTATCTCAACCCAGGAGCCTCTTTTCCCTTTATTCCTTTAATTCTGTCCCCATCCCCAGGAGCGGAGGATGAGCTACCGGTTACTGCGGTGTCTGGCTGCCAGGCAGGGTCAAAACAAAGACACTCTCAGAAAAGCAGGCTCGAGATGACCCAGCAGATCCCAAACATAATCTCAGCACAGTGTAAGGGAAGAGGCTTCATCCAGAGCCCAAACTACCTGAACAGCAACACCACCCACCGTCAATCCCTTGAGATGAAGTCTAAAGAATGTAGGAAGCTACCCTAGTCCTCACAGACATTATGTCTGCCTTCAGTCAGCCTAAAGGCTAGGAGTTACTGACAAAGAAGGCACAGTCAAGCTCTTAATGGGTTATTAGGGGGTATACTTTTCACCTCTCTATTTTCCAGTAGAAGGTAGAATTTTTTTCAAACAAAAAAGGAAGATGGCTGCTACACAAAACCTTAAGTACCTCCAGCTCTAGACAACAACGACCTGGCTTGCTCAAGCACGCAAGCGCTTGGCGGGCCAGGGCTTGGTGATTTTTTGGCGCTCCCCTCCAGCACCGCCGGGATTCCCACCGGGTGGGCCCGGGCTGCGCTGAGCCGCTCCAAGGAGAGGCCCAAGGGCCGGTACCCGGGTGGAAACCGCACTGGGGGTGGGGAAGGGGCCTTATCTTAACCTCACACGCACTTAACCGTTCTCGAGGAACAGGACTGCCCGAAGCAGAGCAAGAAAGGCGCTTTAAACATTACTAGAGGCTTCCAGTTTCAACAGATGAAAAAATTACCACATAAAGCACGTCAAATCTTTACACCAGGGCCT